AACGCCCCGGTTAGCCCCACTGGAAAATAACATCTAACTATGTCAACATGCTCCTCAGACAATACTCTACTTATACTGATCTCACAAAATCTCAGATATTTTTGAAGGCCGAATGATGGATTTTTCAAAACCCAAACGGATCTCAGAGTATTTTGCCGTTTTCTTCAGAATAAAAGCACTTTGGATCAAATATAATACTATATTCGCAATCAGCGTGAAAAACTGCGTTGAATGGTGTATAAATCATCTAGTTTGGGTCGCTTGGTTTTGAATTCTAGAAATTTCTTAGTTTTTGAGATTCATACAAACAATTTCGTGCTGAAAATTTGAATTTCAAGATAAAGTAACCTGAACGATTCGAAACATGTTTCTTATAGGTTTTCGACAATGCTCTTTCCAGTGGCATTGTTTTTAAATATTGAGAAAGTTTTCTGAAGGTTTTCCACAGACCGGATCTCTGGAAAGCTCCTTAGAAAACTTTTTCAAAACCCAACTCTCATGCCATTAGAAAGAGGATCATGAAAAAACCTATAAAAAAATGGTTCATGAAATTTTAGTTCACTCATAAAGCTAAAGTCCGCCTGCTCTAGTAAAAAATGCCCACTGCGAAGTAGTTGATATTTAAAAGATTAAATTCGATACTATCTAAGATTGTGAAAATTTTTATTTGAATATTAAGAATTGGTATTAATGTTTATAAAAAAAAAAGAATAAAAAGACAATACGAAAAAGTGGTATTCACGCGTACATGCATAAGGAAATTATTCACTGAATTTAATTAAGATTTGATTTTTTCTTATTTTGATTTAAAAAAAAAACAGGTATACAATAATAAAGAAAGTAGTAAAAAAACGAAAAATAATCCTGTATATTTTATATTGCCATGAGGTATATAGTAATAAAAAATAAAAAATGACATGGAAAAGTCTGATTGTAAAAAGTGTAAAAGAGGAATTGAAACAATAGATGTTTTGACGTACACAAATCATTTAAGTGAAAAAGATTTGAATTAATTTTGATTATAGGTTAAAAAAAATAAATAATGACTAGAAAGATGTTCATTCCATCTTATGAATTACCCTAATATTACATTTATTTGTCATTATCACAACTGTCATGTGTTGCCTTTGAAGGAAAATACTAGAAAAACCTTTTTCTGTTTTTTACATGTCTTTGCTAGATGAATATAAAAATTTTCGTATATTAAATATGCCTTTTGATCTTAATACAGTTCTAGCGATTAATGAATAGAGTTTATGATGTAATATCATAAAAACACTTTGATGTATATTAGCCCAAAAACGATAATATTGACTATAAAATGGATCAAATTCTAATGGGCAAAGAACACCATTTAAGTTCACCGATGTTACCTAAAAAGAAAAAAAAGTATTGTTCCATTTATTGAGATGGAGGACTCATATTTCACACTTACAAGTGAAACCGGTTGTAACACAAGAAAATGATAAACACGAAATGCTGTAATGGCCAATATAGTCCAGCGAAAACTTTTCATAGGTTCTAAACTATAACCACCTGCAATTAAACAATAGAATATTTATAAGTGTGTAACGATATTAACATCCTTTCATACCATGTGACGTTAAAAGAAATATTGGAACAATAAGTATGAGAATATGTTGAATGTAATAAATTTCAACTTCAAATGGAAACTAAAAAAGTAAACCCATCGTTCAAAATATGTAAGATAAATAAAGAGGTGTTAATATTTACAAATCTCGTAGCTGTTAATGGAAAATATATTGCGAGTGAGCCTCCACTAATCATGGCCACATGTAGTCTATACAATCCACGAGATATTTTGTTGGATGATAAAGCTAATAAAATAATCTGTATCAATGTAACCATATGACAGGGATTAAGTATCCAAATTAATTGTCTTGAAGCAATCTTGAAACCAATTTCAATACCCCATAGCCAAGCATATACTACTAATAGGATACGTCGAAGTACACTTGGTTTTCTTTCCTTAGAAGATTCTGCTGGAAATGATTTATCATTGGGATCTGTGAATTTAGTATGTGCATAATAGATTGCATAATGAATTTCAAATGCTACCCAAATAAGAACAATAATTGTTTCATATAAACGTTGTTTTGTTGATGCATAGCTAAAGCACTCTGGGCCACCATTATCTCGAATATTAAAATCAACACCTGAATATGCCCACTTCAGCATTATTCACTAATAAATCATACATTCAAATAAATACACAAACATATATTCACAAAATTCCAATCTAAAAAATAAAGTTTATTTTTAATTAGATTTGTGAGTTCTATGAGATTTTCATATTATGCTATAGCAACTATTCTCAGTCAATAAATTAACTAAAACTAATACAAAAATAAAATTCCAAAATTTCATTTGCGAACTCAGTATAATAATACAAAATGTACAAGAAGATGATATAGCTTTTCAGAAAGAATATTAAATTTCTTACGTCTACTGTATCGATAAAACTATATCATCGCTGGGTAACCAACGAAAAACGTGACAACTAAAGTGAATACTGCATCGTCATGTTCTAAACGAGAAACGTAGTACATGGTTGTTTGAAATACAGATTTGCACTTTCAAATTTTCTCATCTTCACAAGTAAAGTTGAAGATCAAATCCTTTTGAATATACAGTAAACTCAGAATAATGCATGCAGAGCATTATGTTCTTCTTCAGTTTAAGTACCATCTGGTACACATCGAAATATTGCGTGTAAACAGCCCGAAAACACAACTTTTCGTAAAACTCGCTTTTCGGTAGAATTTTAAAACTTTTCTAAAAACAAATATTGCCAGATTTGGGGACATGTTTTCATAACCAAAAATTTTCCCAGAAGAGCTTTCTGGAACAGGTTTTCCAGGGGATCTTTGGAAAATTAGCTCGCGTGTAAAAATTTTCCAATAGGATTAATC